TTTATTGTTTACGGCAGACGACCGTTGCGGAGCGTCGGGCAGTGGAGGCCGCGCGGCGTGAGGGGGTCATGAGTGGTTGAAGACGGTACTGTTTGTAATTATTTGTACTTTAGAATTGAGGGCTTCAGCAACTATCGTGAGGCAAATATTTTCAAGTTATAATTGTTGGAAGTTCGTCCTGTGTGCTCAAAAGACCAGCAGCAACACTTCACATGTAATCGGGCAGCGCGTGGCCTGGGCGCTGCGGCTTGTGCAGGCGGTGTTTGTCGGCCACCACCACGCGGTCCGGCTGCAAGTTCGTAAACAGTAAGTTTGCTGGGTCTTAGATGTGGCTGGGTCATCTATAACGGTGAGGGGAGTGGTGAGGATGAGGAGGCACTCCCCAACAACATGAATATTGGCATATTTAGAGGCGATTTTGGCGCGTCATAGTTATGGTGCCATGCCCAAGAATGTGACGTTTTAAATCTTGTGCACTGGTATATTGCTGTCGTTGGGTAGAAGTTTGCCTATCGGGCAAAGCTAATGGTAATTAGCATAAGAGCAACTTATGGGTGATTGCAGGAAGTGATTTCCTACTGAAAAGGTGGCTTGGTTTCCTGGACCATTGCTCATCATTGGGAAAAATTGAAGTGAGGAGGTTCAGATAGGATTGGCTTCATTGTTAAGTTGATGTGAAGGTTCAAAGGCATTGGTGCTAGGTGTTGACAAACATTTATCATCTAACAGTACTTGCATTAGGTAGAAATGTAGTCTAGTAAGATTTGGCAAAAGCAGGGAACATACAAGTTCTCAAGCTACAGGAAAACAATTGATATCATGCTTAGTTGTTTTTTCCAGGCAGTGTTCATAGATGAATGCTGCATTTCATAATTTGGCACTTGGCTTCCTTTAGCCATCCTGGTTTGTGTGCCCCTGTGTAAAGGCAAGAACAATTGGTTAACCACAGCACTTAGTAATGTTCTGTGTGTAAAAGGATTTTCCATCAGATTGCTTGAAGTAATCTGAAATATTGGATGTGCTGCACTGACAAAAAGTGGCAAAGTGTTTTGCTAATTGTTTTGGAAGTAACATTTTAAAGTATTCATGTAGCAAAAAGCTTTTGATGAATTATGTGTGGTAAATGGTTTCAAAATAATTTGCATTAATCTACAAAAATGACTAGTATGCCACCAAAGTATCATGCATTTTGTATTAAAGTCAGCACAAGCTGAATCACATAAGTATGGGTTATAAAATGCAGCATTGTTTGCCTCTTGATACCTAGTAATATTTTCAGGTTCAAGCATAATATAGAAATTAGTGACTGGTAAATGAAATATTGCTAGAAGCATTGCTTAGCATAGGCATTCTTTCTTCTATGCATGTCCAAAATCAAGCCAACATCCTTTATATTTGATGGCTACATGCATTGTTTGTTTTCCTTTATGGCTTGCATAATTTACAAATAGAATAGCACAGGAAATATGTGATTTTTTGTCAAGTGCTTACTAATTTATTTAACTTATCCTTGTAAAAAATCCAGGTTTGACAGACTTAGATCAATAGACCCCATAAACATATAAGTTGCTTGACCAACCTCAGGTCACTTTGGTGGCACTTGGTTTCAACTAGCTTCACAGTATAACTGGATCTACCTCTGCTTTTGAAAATGCTGTAGCTTAAGTTCAGGAAGAATGTGACTGCAGGGAATATGTGGCAGTCCATATTTTCATGTTTTCATTTTTTGTTAGCCATGTGAGATTTTGTCAACATGTCCTTCCTAACTGGACCAGTGACACCTGTGTAACCAGTTAAGGCCACCAGCATACTCATGCTGGTAGTCCAGTTTTTCTGACAACTTTGATTAGGCTAATACTTGCCATAATCACCAAAGTTTAAATTGAGAGCTGATCTGATCATGCAAGACCTGCTCCTTTACCTCTGATTTACAAGTTGTGTAAGTTATACTGAGCCTCAAAATTGCATCCATTTTTCTTTTCACAAAGATCAGAAGCTCATTAGAACCCTTACAGTATTAATGTCAAACAACCTAACCAATGTTGTAGGTACACATACCCACTAGCAATTCATGGAAGGTATTTTCTGCATTATTTCCTGCTGCTCTTGCAGATCACCACCTTGCCTGCCATGCTTTACTTAAACATCCTTAAACACACTATACTATTGGATGACAGTGTTCAGTTGTAGGAAAAGGATGTGTTGCTGTCATCATCCAGACATGACAGATTTTAGTGCAATGCATCTTTGACAGGTACTGGGTATCAACTGAAGCAATATTGCATTCAGGGAATGACATTGTGGATGTGCAGCAATTTTCATTTTCTTATGGAGAGATGATTGACAGTTCATGCTTTTTTTGGTACAAACAATTGAAGCTGGTGTGAACAGTTTTGTGGCTGGCATGTTCCTGCATGTCTTCAGGGAGTGTATGATGTTGCCACTGGTCCTGTGTGGGTGTTGGTTTTTAGTTGTTTGTTTTGTGTGTTTCAGGTCTGGATGGCAGGTCCATCAGGTTTTTCTGCAGAGACATCATACAATGCACCCAAGGACATGGATATGGACCTCATTGATATTGAATTTGTTGATGAGCCATCAGGTTTTGCTGATCACCAATATACAATGGCACACTCCACCCCTGTCCAGCAGGCCCATACCTTGACCACCAACCCCAAGGTTTGTTCTGGCTTGGGATGCAGCTAGTTAGTATGTGTGAGACAGGTATGCAATCAAGTGCATTCAGGCCAGTAAACCATGCTGTTGTGTTATTTTCATGATGAGTAGTCCATTTCTTTTAGAACTTCTACTAATGCTAAAGGCATTACTGCAAGATCTGCTTAAAGGGCTTCCATATCAGGTTTAAGTCGCATGAAGTTGACACTTTAACTTTGTGTGGTCTGTAGTTGAGATTTTGGTGAAGGGGTATGCCCTTGCATCATTGTCAGTGGTGTTTTTTTTTTTTTTAACCCACATGCCTGTTCTGAATATGGATCAGGTGAATTGAGTAGATACAGCTTCCAGTAATGTTTTAGTCATGCGCTGCTCACCTTTTACATACCCATACCAGTCGTCAGTTGTGAAAATATGCATGTTAAATAACAATGTATTGTTTGTAATGATGTGAAGGCATTGATCCAGCATTGCACAAACAAAGAGAAATAATATGCAAAGGAGCATTGTTTGATGTGCATGTACATTTCTATGCATCTGTTTATGTCTATATTTGCATGTACTGATGTTTGCACCCAGGTGTTCTGTTCTATCTGTTTGCTGACATCAATGTTATGTCTTTCAGAATGTCAAACGCAGACTAAATCTTGATTTACCTCAGTCCAATCATGTATTTAAAACACCCAATAAGACTCCGAGGCACAAACGAGCACGAACCTTCTCTGGAGATTGTCCTTCACCCAGCCCATCAAAAGCAGGTAAACATTAGATAGACTGCTGCACTGGTGTTCTTTCAATTTGAGGCAAATGTATGTGCTTGATTGTGTGATTGTCTTGTTTGTGGCATTTCCGTGCATTGAGATATCCAGTTTGATGTTATCACCTTATCACCTTTCACCACCTCTATTTGAATCAGGTGACTTATTAAACATGATGAGGTTTTGTGTTTATCCTGTAACTACTGGATATCAGGCAGGAGGCATATAAAATCCTGGTCACTAAATGCTTCATCTGCTGGGTATTATGACTAATAATGCAGGTTGTATGACTGTGTCATAAATATTGACATAACAGATAAAATGTTTTACCTGATGTTGTATTCTGATTCCTAATTTTTGTTCTTTTTCTAGTTGCTGCTCCCTGTTTTTCGCCTTCCACTGAAAAATCACGCTATGACACATCACTAGGTCTGCTGACAAAGAAATTTGTCCAAATTCTACACAATGCTGAGGATGGTGTGGTGGATTTGAATCATGCCACCATAGTGCTTCAGGTCCAGGTATGCCAGTGATTTGTTTTGACATGGGTAGAATTAGAATAGCGGGGAGCCCGGCATGATTCTGGTTGAATGTGTAATGAAATTTGGAATATATAATATGTAATGCTGGTTCATGGATTGCATACTTTCTGATGCTATATTCCTGATGCTCATTCTGATTCTTTGCCAAGATTGCCATGCAAACATGAACCATATTGTTATATCTATGTTAGACATGGTCTCAATGCTGCACTGTTATGGAGAAGCTGTGGTGCTGATAAGGATGGTAAAGTTTCCTGGTGTTATGAGTTCAGAGTTTTTGTGCTAAGATTTTGACCTTCAGTGTACCAAGAGGTACTAGTGAGTAGCTGAGTGTGTAGTGAAGCCCAGTGCTGATGGTAAGTGATGTTTTGGTGCTGACATTGGTTATATTGACAGTACTTGGCATTTCAAGTTGTGCTTGTGGTCATGAGTTACAACAGTTGAATAGTGCTTAGCAAAAGGAACATTTGAAAACTAAGGCAGGTCAAATTGAGACCATGCCCTGAGCAGGCGTGGACACTGCCTTTAAAACATGGCAAAAATTGTAAAGAATTTGAAGGCCTACATCCCACCACTCAATGCACAATTGTACCCTATACTTTAGGGTTACTGTTTGTTGTGCCATGCTCCATCAACATTGTGTGTCAACCTACAGTGTGTTCTATTAAATGTGCATGCTCTTTGTAAATGTGCACCTTCAAGGTGTTCATTAACACTCATGGTGCTATGTTTTGTTTTGCCTCTGAAAAGTATGCCTGGTTGGAGATGGCAAGATATCTTCTGTCATTAAGATATCAAGCTATCTGTATTTTGTTGCTGTCCATACTCATGTATGACAAATCTTACTCCCAGCTGGACATGTTGGGGTCCCTAGTGCTATTTGCACTAATGTGGACTTATGACTGTCCACTAGTTCCAGTTACCCTAAGGTCATGCATATCACTTGATTGTGTGGTTTACATTCTGGCACAGGTTGTCACCTTTAAAAGGTAGTTTTAAATCCATTTTATTTGTTTGCTTTGCCTTTCTACAGCTTGTTAATGCTGTAGCATTAAATGGAGAATGTGCGGCACAAGCGGCGCGCGCGTGTGATATGGATGGGACTCTTCAAGAGATGGTACATAGGCACGATAGTTTTGCGGGTTTCTGGATATGATCCTTGCGTTACATCCAGGCTGCCACTCGTGTTCGACAGAAACGACGGCTGTACGACATCACCAACGTGCTGGAGGGCATCGGACTGATCGAGAAGGAGTCCAAGAACAAGATCCGTCTGACGGCGGACTCGGCGGACCTGGAGGAGCTGCGCGCGCCGGGCGGCGTTGGCGCCACCGCGTCCGCCGCGCAGCTGCAGCGGCTGGAGCGGCAGGAGCAGCGGCTCGACCGGCTCATCGAGGACGCAGGCCTTCAGCTGCGCTGGCTCAACGACGACCGGCGCGCCGCCTACATCCGGTACCAGGACCTGCGCGGCATCCCCCAGTTCCAGGATGACACGGTGGTGGCCATCAAGGCGCCACCCGAGACCAAGCTGCGCGTGCCCGACCCGGCGGAGGTGAGTCGTCGGTCGGCGGGTCGGGCGCCTCGTTGGTGGCGTGCCGCGGGTCTGGGCGGGAGGGGACTGCTGTGGACTTCAGGCGGGGCTGGGCGGGGAGGGACTGCTGTGGACTTCAGGCGGGTCTGGGCGGGGAGGGACTGCTGTGGACTTCAGGCGGGGCTGGGCGGATGGCGCTCCGCGAGCGGCGCGGGGCAGGCTGTGGTACGGCGCGGGGCAGGCTGTGGTACGGCGCGGGGCAGGCTGTGTGGTACGGCGCGGCGCGACGGTGGCATGTCTTCTCGGGCCGTCGGGTGCCGGTGCTCGCTGGTGCCGCAGACGGAGCGGCTCGAGCGCGATCTTGATGCGGCTTGCCACCCCATCCGCCCATCTCCCACTGCGGCACCCCGTCTCCGTGGCGCCGGAGGGACGACGGAGAGCGCGATCCTGTCGCGGCTTGCCACCCCATCCGCCCACCTCCCGCTGCGGCACCCCGTCTCCGTGGCGCCGGAGAGACGACGGAGAGCGCGATCCTTTCGCGGCTTGCCACCCCATCCGCCCACCTCCCACTGCGGCACCCCGTCTCCTTGGCGCCGGAGGGGTGACGGAGAGCGCGCGAATGAACCGTGTTGGCTCAGGCACCGTACGGGAGCGTTGCGAAGCAATGCGGCAGTGAAGACGCTGACCCCCCCCCCCCCCCCCCCCATTCTGCCGACAGGACGGTGCGTACCAGATCCACCTGCGCTCGGAGACGGACGAGATCCAGCTGTTCCTGTGCCAGGACGACTCGACGGCCGCCTCGGACGCCGACGACTCGATGCTGCTCTCGAGCAGTTACTGCTCGCAACCTGACGCTGTCGCGCTCAAGGCTGGAGACCAGTCCATGGAGCAGAGCGACGCCCTTCCGTTCTTCGGTGAGCAGGAGACCGAGGAGACCCAGACCTATTTGTGGGCGCCGCTATTGGTTTCACGCTTGCTGCGCGCCGAGCTGGACTTGCATTCTCGGTACTGTTCCTCTGCTAGCTACGTTAAGCCCAAGATCTGTAATACATTCGCCACCTTGCAAGTGCCGAGTGTGGTATTGAACGATCCCCGTGATCAATTTCAGCTAGTCATTATTCATGGCGTCGGACTTGCAATTACCAGACCAAACAAAGCCGAGCCATGCGTCTGTATGTGCGGCTCGTACAGCGCGGTGTCGTTCGCAGCAGAGGAGCCAGCAGAGTCCCGTCCGCCCGCCCAGTACTGCGTTTGTGAGATGCGCCTCGAGTCATATCACAGAGGTAGTACTGTGCTGGCGGGCGGGCTGTCAGCCTTCGTCGAGCGCAGCGACGTCTGGCGCCTGCCGCGTGAAGCTAACCTGCTGATGTGCGGTCTGGATCATATCACAGGATTAGTTTCACGTGGCCGGCGTCAGTAGACGACGTGCGCCGTTGACGGCTGTGGGATCGCAGGATCAGGGAGCTGCAGGGCGCGGATTGCCGGGATCAGCCCGCGCGTGTTGTCTGCGGGGCGTCAGCGCTGCTGTCACGTTCCGTGCCTCCCCACTCTGCGGTGTCTGGCTTCAGTCTCCGGGGTGTGGACCTCGCTGGCTTTACATTAATTTGTAGGTCCGTAGAGCCTCGGACGCATTGTTGATTGATGCACGTTAGCGCTCAAACCTTCTGGGCTACGGTGCGCTGCCTGTCATGCACGTTTCCCAGTCACCATTAGACACGATTGTTAACGGAAAAGAGAACGCTTATAACGTTATCAAAATCCCGTTGGCGTCTTTGAAACTGTGTGGTGCATTGAAACTCCACAACCATTAGCCTGAAGAGCCGGCCGAGAGCCGTTGCCCGCGGGCGGGCGCCGCTGCGTTGCATCTCGTGGTGGCGTGCGTCTCGCTGCATAGCACCATGGGATTCAGCGAAGCGACGCTTGCCTGACTGCGGGTGCCGCCGACCGGGCGGGGTTACGCTGATCCGGTGTGGGAGCCCAGCCCGGAGCTCAGCCGCGACTGCGTCAAACGGGCCCTCCCTCCTGTGTCCCCGCGTGACCCGGCACCACCGCGTTCGCAGGTGACATGGACCTGGAGTCGTCGTGGGGTGACGACTCCTTCCTGCCGCTGGAGCCGCTGCCGTCCGAGACGGACTACAGCTTCGGCCTGGACATGTCGGAGGGCGCTTGCGACCTGTTCGACTTCTCGTTTTGATGACCGGCCGGTCGGCCGCGCCGCCGCCGCCGCCTGGCGCTGAACTAGTTGATTTGTGGTCGCGGCGTGCGGGTCGTGTCTGACCGCGTGGCGGCCTCGTGCCGCCTTGTTTTAAGGACTGGCCTGTGGGGTGGGCGCCCCCCCCCCCCCCCCCTCAACGTCCTGACGTGGCCAGCGTTGCCAACGTCCTGAGTCATTTTAGAGCGATTGTTTGGTGTTTTAATAGTTGCGCACTGCTGAGTGGAGGTCCACGTCTGGCTGAGCGTGCAGAGACGCCGGACCGCAGAGAACATATCGCGCGCGCCGCTAGCTCAGTGTGTAGACGATCCTGTTGACGCCACGCCGTGATTGTGATCATGTGGCATTATGCGGACGGGGTCCGGGCTGGCGCGCGGTCCAATGCGGTTTTAAAGTTCGGCGCGGTCGGGTTCTGGTGGGGTGGGGGTTTCGGTGACTGGCATGTCTGACCGGCACACATGGTCTCAGCGTCGCCTTGTCCGTCGTCGAACGGCGCATGGCTCCGCGCAGAAATTCAGTCGTCTGTCGCAAGCTAATTGAGAGTGACGAAACCTGCAGGTACAAATTGAATTGTTGCCGTCATTGACGCGGACGGCTCGTCGGCCACCAGCTATGTTGATTTGGTGTACGTATTCAACGAAATAGTCGACGGGCATCCATTCCTTTTCCGAGTCGCACTTTGATTTCGCCTGGTGGTGAGGGCCCCAATGGTCAGTGGCATAGGAACACGTGACAAACGTGGCATTACCCTATCGCGTGACGCTGGTGTGGAATTGAAATGATGCGGTCCTGTCCTGCCCGCCCAAACGTTTCGAAGTGTTCTACGTCACTGCCAATGGGTTACGTTTTACGGAGGCGGGCGACGTGGCACGTCGGTGCGCTGGCCGATCGGTACCGCATGTAAAATACTGCTTTTGGTACGCATGGAGCGCAGAGTGGCACACGCTGCTGCCGCGATCCCTCGAAGGGGAGGTTTTTCTGTCAAGTCATAGAGAGTCGGCGACTGCCAACTGGTGCTGCTTTCGCCCCGGCACTTGTGGGAAGTGCGAGGCGTTTTTAATGAGAACTTTTTTGCAGATGGCTCACCTGTTTTGCAGATTTCTTATCAGTCGTTTTGTATGGAGTTTTCTGCCAGCTGCTGCGTTTCTCGTAGGCTTAAAAGTTTCCCTTGTAGACAAGCTTTAAGCGTATATTTATATATTTATTTCTTTTGTTGCCTTTTGTTTGGAAGATCGCATGCTTGGAACTGTCTTGATGCTGCGGATGAAATAAACCGGGTGGCCGTCAGTTGTGTGTATGTCGTTTTAAACATCGTTTCAACGACGCAGGCCACCACCACCGGACACCGTCCGTGCTTGGACCGTGACGGACCGGCCCTGTGTGTATGAGCGAATTAGCCGAACGACAAACAACACCCGCTTGGAGAAGGGGGGCCCACGGCTGGAAGGGGGGGGGGTTGTGATCTATTGGGGACGCATGCAGGATTTCAAGACGAGAGGGGTAACACGGAGAGTTTTTCACTGAAAATCCGGTCTGGCGCGGCGTAGAGCGCCGCGTTTTCTTGATCTTTTTGTGCATGCATCCGCCGGATTTTGTGATGTTTTTGTCAGGCCGCGCACATTTACTGCATGTAGAACGTTGGTAAAGAATGGACACGTCCCCGTGGGTCAATATGTGCCTGCGCCGCTGCCTTGGTGTAATTGGTTTTTGATAGGTGCTGTGATGTATGAGGCAGCTTATGCTAAACGCTTCTTTTGAGTTGACTTTTTATGAGTGATGCGGCTTTTCTTGGCACTATCCTTTCACAGGCTAAAAAGGAAGAAAAACTTCTTGGTTGGAGCGTTTCAATGGAATCGTTCGTTGCGGTTTTTTGTGTGATGCAATTCCTGCTAGCAACACTGGAAATTGTTCACAGCACATTGTCTACAGGCAGTGACGTCTGTCCGAAAGGCAGCATTCAAGGACAGCTTGAAGAGAGAAGATCCATACACAGACCAAGACTGGAAGCGCCACATACGATCCATTTACTATCCATAGGACAATGAGGGCGTGTGCGTGCTGCTATAGATACATCGTGCTTGCTGTTGGCGCTGCTTCTCTGTCCTACGGCAGCGCTGGCGCGGTGTGGGGGAGAGGGCAGCGGAGGTGTGTGGTTCTGGAATGCAGTGCTACCCTTTCCAGGTGGTCACTAGAGCATTTGCCGCGTCATCCCCAGACGCTTGACGGGAACGGGATGGCAGCTCCTCCCTTCGCCTTCGAGGTATGGCCTTCCCAGAGACCAGTGAGGAAAAGCGTACCGGCAGGTGTCCCTTGCCCAGGTCATAGGGGAACAAATTCCTAAGGACACACGCAGGCGGCAACAGCATTCGGGATGAGCTCACCCCATACCGTCGCTCCTCGAATAAAAGAAGTGATGATTTTGGACACCAACTGGCTATCCCCCCTCATTGAGCCTGGAGAATGGAGTGGCGATGCGTCCATATACCTGATTTGGGAAGGCATTATTTATCTTAACGAACAAAAAGTACAGCGTCATTCAAACGTACCAAATGCAATGTCCGGACCTTGCTTATGAACTCTGGTCGGTAAGCTGTTTTGCAGGCCGACACATACAATCATCAAGTAAAACGTGCACCAACGGTGAATGGTATATAGCCCTTGCTGAGATATGGGTATGGTGTATGGGCGTAGGAGCCGGGGGGGGGGGGGCAGATGCCCGCCCCCCCCCCCCCCGCCCCACTTTCCAAGGTGGGGGGCCAGCAATGTTAACTGCCCCCAAACTTTTCAGATTAAGGCTGCATTTGGCTTACTTTTGCACTGCATTAAGCATGCATGCCGATTTACCTAGCTCACCAGCCATCTCCCTGAAGATGGGTCATCTTTTTCGTTTGCTCATTGGCCATCACTTAGTATTACAGCCGCAAGGCCGACGCCGCACGGCCTGGAGACTGCAACGCCGGGCGTCGAGGCTGTTATTGCTATGACTTGCGACCACGCATGTTCAACACCATATTACGTGGTTTTCTTATCAGTGATCAGCTCTGACAGGATCGTGAGCATTATAAGACGAACGTGGGCTAGCCATGTTAATACAAATTATGAACCCCATTTCATCTGCAATCTACGGTCAGGGAGAACTCAATATCTGAAAAACACAGAAAAACATAGGACTGGAGTCTATGTGAAAACTATCGGGCTGCCTCCGCTTATCAGGGATCTTGTTGCGTCAATTAGGATCTCTGTGCTGATCTGGGGCCAACTGCGCGGATCAGAAGACCTCCCGTGTCAGGGATGGGAAATCCTAATGACCTCGGGATCGACCAGGAGATCCTGCCCCGTGCCACCAGAATGATGACCAGAAGACACTTCGCGATGGGACGGAATGGCCCTTCAGCACTTGACCGGAGGCGGTAATGTACCCCTGGCGTTCTACTCAAGAGGCCCCAAATCTTTCCTTCCTTTTTTGAGAATTCCAATTGAGAGAATCTTTTCATCAAACATCCAAATCAAATATCAGACCCTTCAATTGTCCGAAAGGGAATAAGCAGTCTCACAGTTGAGTGCAGTGGGGCTCTCATTATTGTTGAAAAGCACAGGTCAAAGTGAATTTTAAAAAAAGGGCAAGGTCATGTCATGTTTGCCTGGGAACGTTCATTTCTTTCAGAGTGTATTATTGAAACAAATAACATCAAAAGGCTTTGAACATGCCCGCCCGCAAGCTCTTTAGCAAGGACAAGGATGATCTGGGTCGCAACTTCTGTAAAACCGCTAAGTTTCGGCCACTGCAAGTGCCACCAGACGGCGGGCGCCGTGTTAATCTGTCTCCTGGACAGATAAATAGCCGCGGAAACACGAAAATAAATATTTTACTTTCACTCTTCCAGTTCAACCACCAGATTCCAGGCCCACTTCGCGGTGCTTTAGGGGCCAATCCGCTCTTTCCATCAATCTAAAAATGGCACGCGTGAAATGTGCTCTCAGACTGCCTTCTAAATACAAGGTTTGATGTCATGAAGCATCCAAGGATACTCTCCTAGAATCGTCGTCATTTTCGTCCACCCGTTGGCCACAACCCGTTGGCCGTTGGCCGTTGGCCACGTTAGCTGTTAGGCCGACGCTGCGCAGCCTACGGAGACTGCAACGCCTGGGGGCGAGGTTTGTGTTTCTAAAATTTTCTAGTGCGCATGCTCAAAAATACGTCACACAACTTGTACAACTAGTTGATTGAAGTGTTTAAAGGTAATCATTTCAGAAGCGTCATCATTTTTGTCCACCTGTGGGCAACGGCTAAATAGTACCTACTGGGCCAACGCTCCGCGGACTTCGGAGACTGCAACGCCTGGTGTCGGGGTTTTTGTTGCTAAGATTTGCGAGCGAGAATGTTACAAAGCATGTTACATGAGTTGCATCACTGATCGATTCTGACTGAATGGTGAACATTTTCAGACAAACATGGCTTGGCCATGTCAAAACACATCGTTGACCGCTCGATTTGTAACCAAATTTTCGTCTTCAAATTTGGATCAAACATATCGATCTACAATCTACCTTCGCGATGTCCTCAATATCTGTAGAGCCCAGATAAAAAATTGACAAAGCTTCTGAATTCTATCGGTTTAGAGTCAGCTAACCATTGCAAATTAAGAGCGCCCGTGATTTCTTCCATGAAGTCGTTCAACGCCTGATTTCTGCAGCTTACTGACCCCAAAATGCAAACGGAATTTAGCTCACGGTAGCTTCTGGTTTCTGTTCTGGTTACAAGGTAAAAATAACAATAAAATGAAGAAAACCGTGTCACTTGTTAACAAGTGAGCCATATCCGGAGATTTTTTTTTGGGGGGGGATCACCATAAGATGGGCTTTTGTCAACCCTGCGTTCCCTCTTGGCAAGGCTCTGGCTACGCCCCTGCCTACACACAAAAGCGGTTCAAATCGCGCACGTTGCATGATGGGCAATGAAGTGTCCGTTGGGCCAATTCACACCTAAGGCAGACAGCTTCCCGGAGGCTATTTTTCTGCGATGGTGTGGTATAAGGGAAGATAATTCTGGAAAAATACTGTTGCAGGTGTCCAAGGCATGTTTCATGCACCATGTAAAAGTAACGCTGATCCAAAAGTAGGGGAAAACGGGGCAAAAGGAGGCACCCTGGTAAAACGGGCACCCAGCGATTTCGGCTGTTAGAGGCGGCGCCATCGGAAATACATGGTTTAAACTAAACAGAAACGGAAACGGGGACGGAAACGACGCGCACCGGGCCTTTCTGTCGGCGGCCGTCGTTGAAGGAGGACGTGAGTTCTCGCTTTCCATTTTTTGTTATTATTTTTATGGTGATTTGAACATTGTTTATTCCACGAGTATAATGACTCGTGAATTCAAAGTTGCTGCGCTTTGATGGTGTATGCATGCAGATTCCTTGTGAGCAATTGTGAATTTTTCGCGCCAGATTTTGTTGCGCACCGAATCACGTTGTATTGTTTGCGTCCAGGGAGCTAGAATCGCTTTTGAACTAGGGTGGGAGTGAAAAATGCCTTCCCAAAAAGGCCGTGCGGGAGTGAAAAAGTCAATTCACAAAAGATGGAACTTAGGAGCTCGTGACTCATGCTTCAGCAAACAAAGACGTCTGTTTCAAGTTGGCCTGGATGTAATATCAGAAACCTGACAAAACTGTTTTGTTTTTTAATATCTTAGGCCATTAAAGTACAACAGTACATTAAAGCATAGTAATTTCATGACAGTGTAACAAGCATAGAAAATTATTAACACCAATGATTTGATGCTGCACTTTGCACTTCCCTTCCACAGCACTTTTAACACAAAACAAAGCAAAGGAATTCAATGACAAAATAACAACAGAAAATTCAACAAGCATAAAATACTCACACGAAAAAAGACCTTGGACTCCTACAAATCAGCCCATCACCAAGTCAAACACAATAGGCATACCTCTGGCTTTTGTTAAGATCTGGTCAGAGAAAACAAACATTTTGTCATTGTTTCTTACAAAATACCAATGTTCATTTCCATGGAAGCAGTCTAACGATGCCTAACCTAAAGAGGCCTTCGTTCACCTTATCCTGTCTTGCCATATGCCTAACGTAGTCGGTGCGCCCCAAAGCCCGAATCATCATCATCCTGTATAACCTGTTTGTATCACAGCAGCAGTTGTGAGCTACTGATTCTTGCACAATTTCTGTTGCCACTCGCTATGCACTTAACCAACTTAACCTAACTTAGAGTACCCCATATGTTGAACATCATCTCAACTCGCCTATCTGTCGACAGCAGC